GATATTTATAGCCAAAGATCTGTTCACTGCTGGGCTATTGAGGTTCAGCTTCACACACAAACATGCACCAACAGGATGTGCATCCTCCCACACAATCACACAGGAAGGCTCATTTTGCAGAAGCAGGACTAATTCATTAATACCATTTTACATGCAGTGATTTAAAGGCTATTAGCCTGTTGAAGGGGCTGGTTTTCATCAAATAACTGCTGATGTTTTAAGCCCTTTTGCACATCCTGCAACACATGCAGTATGTAAAGCAAATATGCTACCAAATTAAATATAAAAGTCGGATGTTCGGAAATGTAAATGCAGACCAATAAAATATCCATGCCTGCACACAAAAACACTTGTTCACGCACAATCCGTGCAGAAGGGGAGGCAGCTCTTGTTTTCTAAGTGCCCCCTTAAAAGCCACAGATCCAGCTCTCCAATTCACACTCCAGTGCCTGCTGAAGCCCGTTAATGCTCTCTTTGGAGCTGGTTGGTACACACATTTGTCTGCCCAGATTCCACAGTGAGCACCGGCCTTACAAACAAAACTGTCTGAATACACCACAGTTATAGGAAGCATGTAGAAGCTGTTTTTCTAGGGATGATACCAGTAAAAATGATCAAAATTGATCAATAGTCTCAACCAATAACTAAACAGCCTATAGAAACATGTCAGATATCAGCTGATGGGTTCCTGGAACCTTCTTTTGTTAGTTTGGGAGGAATTTTGCACTAAAGGGAGGTACCAGGGGTTTGAAAGTCAGTTTTATTTTTGTCTTTCACCCCATAAAAATGATCTGTCTTTAGTGTGGCTTCACTGGCTTTTCTTTAAATGTAATTTCCCTTGTATTTTGGATCAAAATCCTTTATTTCTTTTGTTTTAAGAGCACCATCTTAGTAATGCCATACAGGATTGCAGCTTTTTTATTATTTAGCAACACATTAGATTAAATTCTCTTCCATCCCTCACGACTGAAAAAATACGTAAAGATCTTCTCATAACTACAGAAATTATGAGAAGAACTTTAATGGTTCAATAGAGGCATTCCATCAGGTCTAAGTGTTTATGTGGAAGGGTATATTGCACCACCTTGATTCAACGGAAATCACCTTTTGCTTTCTTAATTAGCTGGAGAAGGATGTCCTTATAGAATCTAAATCTGTTGCCGCTTTGCAACCTAATGTCTGACACTATGGCACCAAGACTGTGAAAATCAGGGCTGCCTGTCCTCCTGAGGATTTTCAAAAATGCCTGTTTATCTCTATTACTTTTTAACATAAAGGAACATTTCTGGCACAGATTAGCAGTAAAAATCAATTAGATGTGTTTTAGTTAGATTTATATTTTGAAAGCTTCCTGAGGCTTTAAGGAATTTTGATGTATTTTCAGGATAGGTAAGTGAATTGGACGTTAGAAGTCACACCATCCTACGGCAATGAGAAAACCTTCAATGGTTGGACTTTTCTGTTCAGGTAGAAAACAATATTGCTTTATTTTCAGCGGAAAGAGATGGATCGGGTTAGAAAACTTTCAAATATCTAGCAAATCTGACTCCTGGGTCTCATCAGATGAGTCTGGAGGTGTAAACGGTGTGATCCTCTTGATTGATCTGAAGGTTTGAGAAAGAAAACAAACCCAGTAACCTGCCCAGAGTGTTCTCATCTGATGCACTTTGACCCTTGGACATCATTCATTCCTGTCTTTCACATTGTTTCCATGGCCAGATCATTCTTTCTGCCAGCTCAACCACTTTATTCTGACTTTTACATTCTAAATGCATTAAAATAGAGTAAATTTTATGAATAAAATCAACTCTGCTGTTACTAATTTCAGGAAACCCCAATGGGAGTCATTGTTAAGATTTTTAAGCTCAGGAAACAATGCAAGAAAAATTCATATGATAGACAAACGGGATGGTCAGTGTTGAAGGGAAAGTTTCCTGATTGCAGTAAAATCCAATAAAACAGGTAATAATGCAGGTTGACCAGCTCTTTTTCAATAAATCACAGAAGACGTGGAGACATCTGCTGGGCAAAGAGACCTCCTCACCCTGCAGACTCAGACATGTGATGATCTGTATTTACTCTGCAAACATCTCCAGTCTGTAACCAACTGCTGTGACCCGTTTCTGACAGGGATGAAATATAATAGGAGGCAGACTGCAGGATTTGGGGTCTGTCATGTGGTGCATCGGGAAAAAAAGCGGAGAAAAAGAGAGATTGCAGTGTAACCCAAGATGACACAAAAACAAACCATGTTTCATCCTTATGGTTTCTGTTTTCATTGTCTGTTTAAGGTTTCAGATTTTGAACCTATGTGAAATGATTCAAGCAAACATAACATACTTTTAGCTCTGTTTTTATTGAAGCCTCACAACCAGATCACAGCTGCCCAGGCACAGAGACCCCCATCTGCTGTGCAAATACATGACAGCGATGGAGCTCAACATCATAACTCTGGAAATACCTCCAAAGGTTTGATGCTTCATCTCTGGGAGAGAGATGAAGCATAATTAACATTACACAGTTTAATACGTTTTTATTTAAATAAATTACACATATAAAAGACTCACAAAAAAGAAAGCATCATTACCAGAGAGTTAAACAATTATAAAAGCTTCAACAGCATTAACAAATTATTACAGAATCTGCTTTAATTGTGCTTTTAAGGTCGTGTCAGGATAAATACTGACAAAGGTAATGATGTTAATAGCAACAGCAAACAAACATGTTACACAGTAGAAACACATCCTCCCTCTAGTGGTGGAAGGATGGAATAACAAGTCTTTTCTGGGCAACAGTCCCTCAACATCCTTCAGGGTTGGTAGAATTCATCCAGTTTTTAGAAAGTGGTTCCAGATGTCTTTTTAAATTATCCTAAAATCCACCAAATACATTCAGATGCCTGCTTTGTTTGCAAAAGGTGACAAAATTAAATCTAAATTATGCTGCACATTTGCCACCTGCATGGTTTAAGGAGTTTTATCCGGTTAGAGGCCTTTTTGGAAAACTTCATCTTTCCTCCAGAGGTTAGACTAACCTTCAGGACATTTGCTACAGTGGCATTTTGGAAGTATCTCTGCAGTGTGTCTTTCCTGTGCCTCCTGCTGCTCTGCTCCGATCTGACATTCAAACCGACAGAGAGAGATGAGATCCAGCTGAGCAGCTCGGACTCAGAGCTACCGGAGCTCCCTCTGCTCCACTCCCACAGCAATGAACGCTACTTATCAGCTTTAAAGAACAAAAGCTGCTGAGTGTCTGAGCAAAATAAAAAGGAAAGAAATTATCATTTTAGGAGCTTTTCAATGCATTGTTATAGTTTTGGTGGCTTGAATGTTTTTTCAGTTTTGTGCAGTGGGTACATGGGACATTCAGCAGCCAAGTTCAGTTATTATTCATAATGTCACTATTTCACAATAACTATATTAATAAAATAACTCACCCTTTTGTTTTTTATTTTTTATTTTAAAATAAAAGTATTTAAAGTTTTTTTTTTTCTGTATTAATTACGTTAAAGTTTCTTAAAATATTACATAATAGATCTTTATACCAAAAATTTGATTTTAACATCTTGTACGTCAAGAATCTGTTTGGACAAAATCCTCTTTGGCCTCAAAAAAACTAAAATTGGACAAACTCTGTATGACTTGAACCTGCTTGTCCCAACATTTCCACACATGAGAGGAGTAGAAAAAAACCCAACACTGATTAAACCGTATCCATGGCAACAAGCGTTATCAGGTGTGTTAGAAACACAGAAGTAGGTCACCTCTGTCTGTCTGCGCTGCTTTATATCCATTATATAACCTTGTTAAGTAAAATCTGTCTAAGAAACGACCTTCTTCGCTGCTGCTGGGACTGAGGGGATTAAAACAATGGCAACAAATCACCGACTTCAACTTTCCCGGAGAATAAATCTATTTCTGCTCCTTTTCAGCTCCACCGTTTCTCCTGTCTCTTTTCCCGCTCAGCCCCTGAGATATTCTGCATTTACATCTTATTAGGAAGTCTGAGATGATGAGAGCGCTGTGTATCTGCCAGTCTGCATACACAGTCTGCTCCTGGATCCAGGTGAGGGGGAGGAGACTCTCACACGCAATCACCTGTCAGCCAGGTTTCTATTAGGACGCTCACACACTGTTTGCTCTCACTGCTGTAGCTCTCCTAATGACATGGAGAGTCTAACGAGAACACGCCGTGTATCCTCATCTATTTCTGTTTCCTTCGTTTCTGCTGAGGATCATGGGAAATGAGTCAATGTTAAACTTAAGATTCCTTCTTCTTCAGGTGATACAGTGTGGGCCATCCAGGAATACCACAATCATTTGACAGGGTAACTTTCAGATTGTCCTTCATGCTACATTCACAGTAAACCTTTACCCTTCCTAAGTTCCCATGAGTAAGGGATGAGAACCCAGTCAGAGTATAACAGAGTTGGGTAGCAGCAGCTTCCTTCATTTGTGTACAGTGTCACAACTAGAAAATCAAAAAAAGAAAAATAATAATAGGTCCACTTTAAAGTGGAGGCACTGGATCAGTGTTTTCTATTGCACACATTCAGGTTACTTGAACCTGGAAACGTTCTTTGTTTGATGTTTAGCTTCAACTTATGCGATTTAGAGTAATGTCATTTTTTTTACAAAAAACAATAAATAAAAAAAATTTTAAGGATTAAAACTGAACTATTTCTATTCTGCAGTAATAAGCTGTTAAATGTGTTAAACAGGCAGCAGGACGTCTGATTTTTTGTTATAGAAAAACACACAAAAAAAACCTACATTTCTACGCCGAATAAAAAAAAAAAAAAGAAAAAGAAAAACCCCAAACAGACTTAAATAATTTTGAACGTAAAGGTTTTGAAATCTGTTTTTCTGCTGATCTTTAAAAACCTCTTAGATAAACTATCGAGTTTATCTTTATGGAGCTAAACCTTATTGGTCTATCCATTAACCTAGTTTAACTGTTTTTTTTTTGTTTGTTTTTTTTTTTTACTGTAGTTTTTTTACTGTAGTTTAAAATTTCTTCTGACATATAAAGCATGTATTTTACATGTTTTAGAAGCAGCTGCAGGTTCAAAGCCAAATATAGTAGACTGTATATAACATGCTAGTGTTTTACTGCCTTCCTAGTGAAGAGATCACTGGTGTCCTGGTGAGGTAGTTGGAGGGCACATAGCCTCTCTGACCCCTGGCCTCCACCAGGCTCCACTCAGGGTTCCCTCGTTTATCGTGGGGCTCCAGGACGCGGACGGGCTCACCGGCATGGACAGATACTTCATGGTTTCCTCTGGCTGTGAAGTCGTAGGCAGCAATCACCTTAGGGAGGAGATGGGGAAATGATCAATTTCACATCTGGTTTATGCTCAGAAACCAGGTCATCAGCTTGTGTGTCGCAGTGAACGCAGATATACCCCCGTCCCTTCTGCAGACAATCTGGGGCACCTCTTCAAAATTGTAGGTGACCACAGACAGTGTCGCAGACAGGAGGCCTCTGATTGGTCAAATCTACATCCGCTCTACACTATGCATCATTGTGGAAAACGACTTGTGAAGAGTGAGATGCACAAGAACGCTGGGACCCTTTTTTCCACCTGTATTCCCGCTCTTTTTTGCCCTCATGTCCCTCTGTTGTCGCCCAAACTTGCCCCTTGCATTTTTCCACTTCCTCACCGCTTCGGCCGTATCTAGACCCACAGCTTATTCGTGATTGTCCCTCTTGCGTTGTGGCGGCGTGGAGTAACATAGTGCAAACCACGCTTCAAAATTGGGCATAAATCTAAAATATCTGTGTCATACCTGCGATACACTGCTGCGAGAGCAAACACAACCCTGACATCCAACCTGGACGCTCATTTCTGGATTTATTTCTTATTTCATTATTAAACAGATAAACCTACAGAACAATTTTTGTCTACCTGTGTTAGACTCTTACTTAAAGCCCTGCAGTGAATGCTCTCGTGTCTTATAATGGTTCCTTTGTGTGATTTGGATGTAAGAGCCCATCATTAAAAAGCTCCTGCTGTTACAATGGCCTTACTGACAATTACTGGGGCAACAAGTAAAAACCTGGTAATTGAAGCAGGATATTCTCCAAACAGACGAAAAAAAGATGATCAACCTTTTGACAGAAGTTCTGCAGATTTTTTCTTATTTTTCATGCCTTGCTTTTTAAATAATTTAGTGTTTAAAAATTAGTAACCTGTGACGTTCCTAATTTATAACCAAGCTGTGTCACTCTGTCCACCCCACCACAAGAACAACCTTACAATGGTAGAGAATAAACAAACCATTTACTAACACAATTTTTCTTTTAACACTTCTGTTATCATATATTTTTGCCATTTTTGTAAATTCTAACACATTTTCATGCAGCTGAGGGAAAAAAGTCAGTAAGCAGGAGAAAAATGGCACAATCTCTTCGATTTGTCATTGTGATAATTCTTTGGAAAGGTTAAGCCCACCAGTTATGTCTGGACAAATCCCAGCTCATCGCCCCACGCTCTCACATCCACAGGCTGAGGACTTCCTAATGAGCCTCGCGTTGGTATGACAGAGCGCCCTACCAGCACTAACAGCAGAGTTTAGGTAGCCGATCCATGTCATTAACAAACCCTTCCCTGCAGCTCACCTCTCGGCTACTACATCAGTCCTGCCCTGACAGTCCACACCAATTAGCATTTAATTAGATTTTTTACAAGACAGCGAAAGGCAGGAGGGAAACGAAGTAAAGGGACCGTCTCTGTGGACTGAGGAGAGATGCATGTGAAGGAGAGAGACTGAGATTTGGTTAAAAAGTAAAGAAGGTCGTAGTGCTGAATTCCTGTTATTTCTGGGAGAAAATGGTGAGATGAGTAACACATCATTGCTTGACAGAAGTCATTTGGTAACAAATCTGACATGTTATAAATCTATGTTCATAAGATAGAAAGATTGTTATCTTGTCCTTTTAATTTTTTTTTAGGCCAAATTTATCAAATCAAAAATGAGTTGATTGTGGCGTGCTCTTGAATCTCATCCAGATCACAGCATGCTTCTGAGATCTCTTAGCTTACCTCATCATCATACAGCTTTTACTTACATTACTTGGTTTGGTTAATGAAACTGAATAAAAAAAAAGGGTAGGCATCTTCAAAAAGGGTGATCAGGCGTTATGGTCAGGTGTTTTAGATAAAAAGTGTTTCTATCATCTGCTTTACAAACTTTACACTTGTCTAATAATAGAATGTATTTGCGCAAATGAAAAATTGAGGTATGATAGAAGAAAAAGGGCCTTCAGTTTCTTATCTTTAAAAGGGCTGCATGCATGACACGTTAACACAAGTCTGAAAAGATTCTTGAAAAAAAAATTTCTGTTTGAAGATCTGCTGATGCATATGTGTGAAGAACAGCTTCCACCACGGCATCTGTAACTAAGGGTTAAATTTTCACAAACTCTAAACACCAAACCAGGAATTTAAATGTTTGCAGAGATACATTTTACTCCCTTCTAAGGAGTTGTTGTTGAGCTACATTAAAGTCATATAGTTTGCTAAAAAGAAAATTTCAACCTGAAAAAGTAACAGTTGTATACTTTTCGCAGCAAAAACCAGGAGCTGCATTAAGCTGTCTAATAACAGGCAGGGTATAAAGCTGCAGTGAACATTAGAGTAGTCCTGTTTCTCTGAATGTGACTGATCGAATTTGCTCTCTTCATTCTTTGACATAGGGATTTCCTTATTTTTCTATGTCTGCTTCTGTCCCCTTGAACCCCAGTCGGCCTCGGCAGATGGCCGCTCACATTGAGCCTTGTTCTGCTGGAGGTTTCTTCACGTTTTTCCTCTCCACTGTCGCTACAAGCATGCTTAGTGTGAGGGGTTGCCTTTGAGTCAATGAGTCGATGCAATCAACTGGTTTTCCTTAGATAGAAAACTTTGAATCAATTTGACTGTATGATCTGGTTGAATTGTAAATTGCCTTGACATGACATGTGTTGTGAATTGGCGCTTTATAAATGAATTAAATTGAATTGAATTCATATTGTTGCTGCTGTCTTCTAGTAGCTAACCTGTTGCCTCAGTTTTCAAAAGTCATAATATTATAATGGGATGCTGACCCCTGATGTTTGGAGGCATAAAACTGTGATTGTCTAACATGGTCAGAGCAGTTAAAGATTTTTCTTTGGCGATGGAAAACGCAGGAAGGAAAAATAAACATCAGCAACTTTCACTGGATCAACAGCACACAGTAAAGTATCTTTGCCAGATATGCATAACCTCCTGCATTCACGCAAACACACACTAACTTGAGTCGCTGATGTTCACACTCCCATAAACCATGCTAATCAAATCTAGTATCCTGACCCTCAATCATGTCGTCTCAAACATAAATCAGTCAAACAACATGCAGCGCACACATGAGAAGAAAGGTGCATTATCTCTGCCTGCAGCTCTATGGCGCATAAATTAACTGGCAACTGACATACAAGGTTAAACAGCTAATTTATGGACGCTTCCTTTCAGACACACACCCCTCCCTATGACATAATATCTGTTCAGCTCTACCTTAGCAGCCCTCTCTTTTGGAAAGTAACTAGAAGCAAATTACCAACACTGATAACATAATTTATAACTACAGTAACAAAGAGCAGTCAGTTACATAGAAAACTGATGATTTCATTGTAAAAAACTGTCAAAAGAGGACTGTTTCATTGAGAAAACTCTATGTTGTTGTTTTTTAATTTCACGCTAACAGGAGGTCTAGGCCATAAATGTCCAAGACTTTCCTTGTTTGGCAATTATCGAATATAACAAACTCAGTCCAGCTGTTTCCTTCCTGGTTGCTTTAAGATAATAGTAGATTTCAGTCAAATATCTGTATAAAAAAACAAAAAAAACCAAAAACAATAAACATTGAGCTATTATCTGTCAAACATAAATGTGTGTATTTCTGTCTAAGCCAAACCTGCTGTTCTTTAGCTTAACATAAACAACAATGTATGAGTTGCATCGTTAAGCTGAACCATTTACAGTTGAAGCAATAAAATATGAAAAGCAATCAGTTAAAGAGCATGTTTTAATTTATGTTGGGTGAATAAAATCTTTAAAGAACCAACATACATAATTAAACTCTTTTTCTCACAGAATATACTGAATGTAATCTAGTAAATCACTTTTCAGACACAATAAGGGAATTTACAGAAATGCTTTTCTACAAAAGCTTCTGCATTCCTGTATCATTTGGAATGAGGCTGTGTAACAGCAGGACATCATACCTACTCTGTTGTAGTTTATTATAACAGGAAAATAATTGTTTTGACTCTAAAAAGATCTCCCTATTGGAAAAAGAAAACAACAAAAAAACATAAAAAACAGAAAAGTAATGTGACTGATTAGACGATGGTACAAGTTATACGGTTAGACGGTTTAGGGAATATTAACTAAGAAATTAAAGCTGTTTGTTCTTTTTTAATTTTGTTCTTTTATTAGTATTTAAAACAAGTATTCCTAAAGTTCATCAAAAATATATACATCATACAAAAACTGACTAATTTTTAAAATCTGATGTCTTTAATTAAGTCAGTTTTATGAATTTGGACAATGGTGGCTCATTAGGTTGGGGTTCAACTTACAACCGTAGGGCTGGGCAGTTTGAGCTCTATGGTAGGAATTTTTTTCCCCATTATCGTTAAAAAACAAGTAATGATTTAAAAATGGAAATTTGAGAAAAACAATAAAACCCTGAAATTGTTTTTTTTTTTTTTTTACTTGATTAAATAAAGGTTTTGAGAGAAACTTTGCAGTATTTTCAAATGTCATTTTTTTTCTACTTTTTTCTTTATTTTTAACTTAATTTCAAATTTCTATTTTTCAGACTGAGGTTTACAAATTTCATCGTTTCAAATTGTGTTTTACAAATCACAGTCTTCAGTTCAAGCCCACTATTAACTTTCTATGACAGCACATTGGCCAGTGAAAATGCTGTTTCTAACAAGCAATAGAAAATAAACCTGCTCCCAGAAATGAAGAGAATGGGATCTGTAAAAAACTATTTAAAAATAATTCAATTTGAAAAACCTAATCTAAACAGGATAAATTTGAAAAACCACATTCAGAAAGGCAGTTTAAAAAAATAAGAAAAACAAAATTGAAACAATTAAGTCAGTCAGTAATTTGGAAAAGTCAAATTTGAGAGATCAGCAACGTTCATCACAAAAGCTTTTTTTGGGTAAGAAATATTTGAAACTTTGATTTCTGTATTGCTTTTTTTTAATTTCCATTCACAAAACCTTTTCTTTGGTTAATCCTGGCAGCATTATGCTTTGTATGATTCAGTCTAGTGAATGAACCAATCACAGCGCGGGAGGCAGGACTTGCACGACTCTCAGCACTAGAATCTTTTAAACCCATTACAGTTCTTTTACATTTGCTTATATCCAGCTGAAGTATGTCCACCTGAACACAACCAGATGCTTTCATTTGTAAATATCCTGAAATATGCTTTCGAAAAAGATAATAAAACCCCTTTATCTAAACAAAAGGTAATGGGAAACGGGGAAAAAGAAATACAAAAGGTTAATATGTGGAAACAGAAAAAATACGTGAAGTAATGAATTACCTGGAATAAAGGTCGACTTGTCACCTGGATGAGTTGGGGGTCTGGGGTGCAGGAATGTCTCCTTAATCCGCTCATATCCGCTGGCATAGGAAGAAATGGAGAGGGGGGCGGGTCCTCCACTGCTTGGTGATAGCGAGCGAGCTTTGAGGACGCAACATAGCCTTTTTTTCCTGCACACACACACACAACTTGACACTTAACACATCAATTTACACAACAAATTATTACATAGAATGAGTTTTCCCAGTTTTCAATCGTTATGTAATTGTTTCTATAAAGAAACTTATATATTGTTTTACTTTATTAGAATCGTAAGAAATAATCATCTTGAAACAAAATAAAATTTCATCGTTAACCTATATGTCTGTTTTTATTTATGATTATAATGGCTGACATCCTGAAATCAAGCAAATGCAGTATTTTATTCTCTAATAAAAATGATCTTTACGAGCTAAATTAATTTTAGGACAAGATTTCCCCTAAAATGTCCAAAGAAAAAGCTTGTAAAATTATAAAATCCTTTTTATTGGATGCTATTCTTTAATCATTTGGAGCATATGCCGACACCTGCTTTCTGTACAAAGGTAAAACTGAATATTTAACCAGAGAATTTGTATATATTTGAACCGTAACTATCTTGCAACTATGGAGGTTGGAACACACAGAAAAGTCCCTTTTTTATCTTTGCCTGTTTCTTATTTATGGTTTTTAATAGAATGAGGATGGATGGCTTAAGGTTTGGACTTATGAATCAAAGGATCCTGTAGAAACCAAGCTCACAAGTTCAGTTTTGAAACAATAACACACAGGAAATGAGTTTCTGTAAGAATGTCAAAGCGTTTTCTCTATAGGTCTGTTTACATCTCTATCTAATAATCTACGTCTATAACTAACCTGTTTAGTGGTTATTTTTCAAACACAGATTTTCACCTGCTAATTTGCATATTCAAATCTTAAAAGCCAACCTTATTGTTATAAGTGAAATTAACCAGTAGATGGCAGCATAATGGTATCTTTGAGAAAAGCTGCAACCTGAGAACAATTTTTTTTCCATGCATCCCTTTGAAAATTAATAACAGCAGAAAGAGATTTATGATCCACTCAATGAGCTCTTGATATATAGGCTCAGATTAACATTAATCACTAATATAATTTTACTTATGAAAAAGTCCGATCAAGCCGAGATTTAACACTGAAAGGTAAACAAATCCAGAAAACATTTGCTAACTCTGTCCAGAACATTTCACAACAGGAACTGGTTTTCACCTCCTGCATCAACCAGCCACCTCCGTTTGTCTCCGCGGGTGTCGGTCTCGCTGATGAGGGCCACCAACTCTCCCTTAGTCAGGTTCAGGTCGAAGTCCCGGGTGGCCACCACCGTGCTTGTCACCTGGAAGATCTTACCAGAGCCGTGTTTATCTGTCAGCTGCTTCAGACGGCGCTGAGAGGATGGGCTCAGAGGCTGAAACAAAAGAAAGGCAGAAAGTAGATGAAACTAGCAAGATCTAACCTAGAAATTACGTCACTTTGTACATTTTCCTTAAATCCTCAGCAGTGAGTCACATTCACACCTGAATGACCTAACGTTTCAAAGATGATTGTTTTCATGCCCTGTGACTTGACGTATCTTCAGGCAGAGCGTGTTGGACAGCGCAAATAGTTTTCTAAAGGTGAACTTTTAAAGTTCTAGCCAAACATGACGTGAGCGAGCATTCCACAGTCTTTCCAGTTATTTTTATGCACGTTGTTTGACAAGTTTAAATGATTATGATGATCAACTCGTACAACAGGAAATACAGGCAGCTGTGCCTTAATAAAGCAAGACCTTTTGTTTTGGCTTGTCACTTTAAATAAAGTGTGTAATTACCGTCTACATCAGGGAGTTGTGCTTTTTAGTCTGTGAGCTTCTTTTGGTGCCAGTTAAAAAGAATGTAGCAGCTATTCTTACTCCTGAGTTTATAATGAGATGTTCCAGTAGAAAGGGAATGACTGATTCCAGCTATGGCACAAAAGGAAGTACATCTGCGGTTAGAAGTTTACATATACTCATGCCATTTCTTTCAGGTTTTATATTTTCTTCTAAAAAGGTTTTCATGCTTGGGAAGATCATATAAGCGCGTAATTTTTTAACAAATGCTAACCTTATTGTTTCTGCAAACTTGAGTCTCTATTAAATTGAAGGTGGAACCTTGGTGTGTTTTGCTTTCAGGGGTACAGTAATGGTTTGATTTCATGCTTGTGGTAAGATTTTTCTTTTACATTCAATAAATAAATAAGATTTTTTATGTTTTTCAAATTAAATATTCACATTTTTTAGAGATCCAGATTCACATCCTGGATCAAATCAAAGTGTTTTGAATTATTTTAAAATACAGGTCTCTACCACCTGCCTCTAAAAATTTCCTGATCATCCAAAGTCCTTGCATTAAAAGGGGACAGTTTGGGCAAAATCCAATATTTGCAATAGTTTGACTTGTTCATCTTGGATCCTGCAGTTTTTGAGAGGCACTGAAAGATTTTGAGAAAATGTAAATCTACGAGATCCATTCTTAAACCTTCACCGAAGTTTCTTTGACTTTCTGATTGTTCTAAATGTTGGTCAGAGCCTCACTTGGTAGAAAACTTAGGTGAATATAAAAAAAATAACTTATTTCTAGTTTATTGATCTTTATGCATTTGAGAAAGCTTGTTCAATTATTACATAGAAAACTTTGAATCTTCTAAATTTGCCCTTTATGTCCATTATTCTCATTATTGTTTTTTTTTTTATATATATATCTTTGAATGTTTCCCTTACATTTTTCTGCTCATACATTTCAATATTCTATTCCAGGGGTAACAAATTAAAAATTAGTGGGGTCTGAAAAAGGAAAATCATCAACCAGTAAAGGTCCGGAGACATTTTTAATTATAACCTGTTACTTTAAACAGAATTTAACACTGAAATAAAATTTGGTTTTTATGCATCCATGTTATACACTGAATTTTATAATAAAAAAACAAAAAACATGCTGTAATTTATTCATGTTTTAAAGGGGTCATAGAATGAAAAAGTTTCCATTGTCATAGATGAATAACGATAGTTCAGTGGGTGAAATGGATGTACAGAGAAGTTCAAACCCCATCGACACCTCCTTTCTCTGCAAATCTTACAATTCTAAACTTCCACCATAAAACGGGCGAATCCAAACGAAGCACCGAATTGCCGTCAATTCGGGGTTTTTGCCCTATTTGGTTGAAACTGACATCCAGACCAGCCCACTGGTTCGCTGGCACCAGAACATGAATAGAGATAGATGTAAGACACCAGTTTAGCTGTTTAGCCTACAGTTGGGTTTACTTCTACAAGAATTACAAAGCAGGCAGTTTCTCTATTGAAAATGAGCCAGAACCACAGGCGTAAATGCAGCGTTCCAGGAGAAAAGGGGACATTTTCACAGTCTTCCCAAGAATCCGAAGACTCGATGGTCAAGGATTATTTTTGTCTATCATAAGATCCCTGCAGTTTGATGCTGAGCTGTTCATTTGCTCTAAGCATTTTACCGAAGACAGCTTTCAAAATCTTTGACAGTTCAAAGCAGCATTTGCTAAACTTCTTTCACTGAAACGAGGGGCTGTTCTGACCTTAAGGCCATCACAACCGCAAGCTGTAAGTATGATTCTGTCGCTAAGCTGTTAATAGCAATGTTAGCATATCTATGGTGAATGCTTGTTGCTATGATGCGTCTTTGCTCAGCAGCTTTGCTCTTTTAAGCAAACCAATCAGCACACAGCTCATCTAAATATTCGTGATCATTCCATAAAAGGAAGAAAACCTGTCGTTTCATTCTGAGGCTTATAACCAGGTTTGCATTAGGGCTCATAGAACAGCCAATAAGCCATTTTCAGCCCAACCAATGTTACACACCCTATTCACAGACCTTAAAGACCATCACAAATTACCCTATATAGTCATTCTATGACCCCTTTAAATCATGTTGGGTCTGGATTAGCCAGCAGGGGGGTCCAGATCCAGACCGTGGTCCGCTAATTCATGACCTCTGTTCTATTCTATTCATTATAGGAAGAATTTTAGTTGAAATAAAATAGTAAAAGCCTCCTTAAATGAATGTGTCCTTCATGCCCATGAGGACTGGATGTCAATGGGATGTCAGCAGGAAACATCTGAATCCTGGCTCCCCTGTGCATATTTCAGCGACTGCATCTATCCACCTCCTCCTGGATATTATGTTGACAGGACACTCCGCTCCCTCTGCCTCCTCCCTTCATCTGAACCAACTTTGTGTGTGGCCAGTTGATGAACATTTATTACATCGTACTATTGAGGACAATGGCCGTGGAAGAGAGATTCATGCACTTACAGTGCACACACTAACATGCACACACTTTAAATAAATCCATTGCTTTCAGTCAGAAAACCAGTGACTAAAACACTATTGTTCCATTCCAACTCAACCTGGGCAGCTGGAGCATTGAGAGCTTCCTCCACACTTTGGCATAAAGTCTCCAACTGCCTCGCTCCTTCCAGCACTGCAGATTCCACCCACTCCTGGAATTCCTTAGGGTGCAGAGAGCTGTGAGGGAGCTGCAAGGGAAAAGATGCAGAGCCCATCATTACATGTAGCGTTACTTAAAGTTTTATACATTTGTTTAATTGAGTGTTTTATCTTTTAAGATAGATATGGAAGCCTGTACCTGTTGAGCAAAGCTTTGAAAGACCTGCTCCATGTCTGCAGCCAGATCTCGATGCAAGCAGCTGAACGTTCCCAACATTCGCCAGATCATCTGCAGAGCTAGGCCATTAAAGCGAGGAAGCTCATTGAGGAGCAGCGTGTTAATTGTCCTGGAAGGGAAGAAGGAAATTTGCATTGAAAACTCGAAAATAGCAAAAACAAAACTTTAATATTAGCTGACAGCACATCAGAGGTATGATTACATTATGTAACTTAAAATATAAATAAAAACAGATGATAGAGACAAGATGGTGTAAAAAAAAGTCTACTCAGTGAGGAAGAAGCTATTCCTCCAAAAGCAGCACAAAATCCCAGATTTCAGTTTGATACAATGAAATGTCCAGTGGTCTGGTATAGAGTGAGGTGTTGGAGAATAATGACCACCGCTGCATTTAGAAGAATGGAGGGGGAACTTGTGACCCTGTGAGCATTATCCCACCTGTTAAGTACCAGGGTGGGTGTATCGTGTAGTATTGGAGTGCTGCTGCAGGAGGGGCTGGTGCACTTCACAAAATAGATGACTTCATGAGCAAAGAACATTATGTGGAAATATTAAAGCTGCAACCCAAACCATCGGCCCAGGGAGTTAAAGCTTAAGACACAAATGGATGATGATCTTCAACAGGCCATCAAATTATCAACAAGAATGGCTGAAAAACAACTGAATTAACATCTTAAAGTGACCAACTCAAAGATCTAATCTCAGTTCAGTAGAACATTTGTGGGAAATCCAGGAAACTTCTCAGAAATGCTTATAGTTGGACACCCAGATGTGACAGCAAAAATAATAATTTTATCAAACAGACTGATTTGATCCTAAATCAGCTGAAACAGTAAAGGTTTGCTCTGATTCAATGTCAATCAGGCAACATTAAAAAGGAACAGAAAAAAAAATGGTGGATTTTGTATTTGAAATATTCTAATAATGACATAGATGTTTTAGACTAAATCTGATATATTCTAATTTTATTTCCAAAATGTAGAAAAAAGGCATCTAGGTGCCATATTTCTGGAAAAAAAAATTTATTTTATTTTTATTCTAAATTTGAGTGTTTCTTTTTTATTAAGCCCATGTTATTTTTCTCCATTACTTGTATGCGTTTGCCACAGCCTGTTCGTCGTAGCTCAGTTTGGATTTGCCTTCGATCACTTCGTAGTCCAGCAGCTTGTGGAGTCTCTTTCTAATCAGGTTCTTGGGGCCGACCAGGAGGTCACGGAGGTCACAGAGGGGTTTGTAGATCAGAACCCTCATCCTTTTTTCCTGAAAGGCATTAGAAAACATGTTGTTTTATACATCACACAATTAAAACTTTCAGAAAAGATTGTTTATTTAATTCAGTTTTCACAAAACAAGTTCTATTTTGAAATGGTTCATATTTTAATGTTATTTCTTAGTTCAGCTAATTTACCTAAAGGACATCAACAGATATGACTTACAAACATTGGAAGGATCCACTGTCTGAGCGCAGTATTGATCTCCTTATAGCAAATAGGGGTCTTTTCTCCATCCATGTCAAAGTCGAACTCTTCTGTCTTACATTCCAGGAACCTCTGCAGACCAACAAGCATTAAAAGGTAAACACTTGCTGTTTATTTCAGATGTTTAACACATTTGTTGGTTTATTTAAAACCCTGAATGTTTGTGTGGTTGCTGAAGCAACAGACAGCAACAGTCTCAGTGACAGAAATAGGAAGATAATAAATGGCTTAGTCTAAAAGTACAATTTTTGGTCAAATGTATGCACAAGAGAGAAATAAAGACAAGAACAGAATAGCTAAAATAGTGGGGGTATGTTGTGAAAAAAAAAGACTTAAAAGAGGAAAAAGAATTTTTGGGGGGAAAAAGTACTTGGAGAATAATTTTAGACATGAACACAAAGAGTCCTGTGTTTGAGCTCAGATCAGCTCCTGGGTTGACCCAGTATGACTCAACTGCAGCAAAGAAATATTAAATTATATTCTAGTTTTCCAGTCAACCATACAGGACTGGAAATTTCCAGTATGTGATTCAGCTGGTTCAGTTCGAGCTGGCACCTTTAAGTGAAACATATTCATCTATGAGAATTATATCTGTTGCCATCACATTACAGAAATAGAAGGGATGGAAATATATTAAGTTATGTTTGAGAATAAATGCCTGGAAAAACAATGTTTAAAAGCAAAGTAACCTGTGTAGTTTTTGATTTTTAAGAGGTATGAAATAAGAAATAAAACAGTCCAGAATTAGATAAGAAGATTATGTGTTAAGAATTTATCGTCCCTGCAGAGAGACTTAAAAAAAGAGACGTGTTTTTAAATTCAATTTCTATCTGGCAGCTATATTTAGTGAAGGGAAAACAACATTCCTGACAGATAACAGATAGTGTATTGCACCAAGGATCCATAGCAGGAATGCATTATTATCGATGTTGTTATGAGTGACGTAAGGTTGGGGTTTAAAATAAAAATACCTGTAGGTGGAGCAGGTATGTTTCCACGTTCTCCAGAAGAACCAGGATCCCATCCTCCAGAATGTTAAAGAAACCTTCAAGGGCATCAAACTCTTCATCCACCAGCTAGAGGAAAACAGTCACATCACAAAAATGACAGCCTTATTCTGTTCTTATGGAGGAAACAAATAAAATGACCCAGGGTGTAAAGACAAAAATCAGCAGTTTGAACTGTGAACAGCTACTAAGCATCCTTATGTTTATTTACATTAGAAAGCATAAAAAGCATATTGCTAATAATGTGGAAAAGATACTCAGTAATGAATCAATGTTTTTTTGGTTCAATGCATGGATGTTAATTAAAGTGGAAAGCAATGAAGAAAATAATAGAGAAGATGATTGCATATTGATGCAGTGTGAAGAGGTCCCACATATCTGCTGGAGTTCCTATAGCAACAGGTGGAGGCGACAATGCTCTGAGCATAAGAAAAAGTACTCAATATGTGTGCGTGTGTTATTGTGTAACATTATCACTTTGCTTTGGTAGAATAAATATATATATATATATATATGCATAAATAAAGAAAAAGAATAAAACACTAATAAACAGAATACACCTTAGGTTAGCATCATTATGCAGCAGGAATGCCTTCAAAACACTGTTTCTGTTAAGTGTGCTAATTTTGTGAAACAGACTATTCTGAGTGCATGAAATATTCAGATTTGGTGTGAGGAAGGTGTGCCACAGAAATGGAGAGAAGAGCTGTGCTCTCCTGAATCTCTATGAAGAAGATATAATCCTCTTCATGGAGCCAGCCCCCTGGGAACCGTGGAAAAGGAGTAAAACTGATCCTACTTTAAAACTTAGCAGTGGAAGGTTGAGGATTTGGCCTTTTGTTTTCATGAGAACCTTTAGTTATAGATCAGAGACGATGTTGTATTACTGTTACACAACCTATAATAGGTCATTAAGACTGCGTAAACATGCCACTTTTGTAACTCAGGTGAGTAAAGATCTTTCCCAACATAAGTTACCAACCACTGGATGTAGATAACTAATGTCTCCACAGTTATTTTGTCTGTGCAAACATCAACTGAAACAAACAGGCAGGGATTTCCCTTCCCCTTTAAAGCTGCTCACTGAAGTGTGAAGAAGCTTTCACATTTCTGATGCAGGCCTATGGAGAATTACAATGCTGGTATTTAATTCTTAGAAGTCAACTTAGAGAAAAATATGCTGATATTCGGTTCCTCTTTTCTTTTAAATCAACTGAATATCCAGAGATGTCCTCCTCAGTGAACTGTTTCAGAATCAGTGGCTCTGTGTTGAATACTTTTGACTGAAATCAGAGAAACTTTTTTTTTTTGTAAGCCAATGCCCATTTCTAATTGGGCCCTGATCTGTGCTGGCGAGTTTAAATGGGCTGAATTTGAAGCCGATACTTATTAAATGAAACAATGGTAAGAAATGTGACACAAGTCTCAATGAAAACAAAAAAGAAAAGCATATTAACCAATCAAACAAAACATTGGCAATGGATAGAAGATAAAGGAAATGCATGAACTTCAACTGATCTCTGGGCAGGGCTCATAAAAAAAACACCCATGAATTAGCAGAAGCACGCATTAATCTGTTGATGCCAATTATACAAAAGAAACAAATATGTGCCAGTCAATACATGGATTTTTCTCTTCATTAGAAGCTAATTATTTAAATGTCTGCTGGGCTGTGCTATTTTTAAACTTTTTAAACTCCTATCGGATTTGTCTATAGAGATGCTCCGTCTAGGAAGGGTAAGCAGATCTGCTCAGAGTTTTTTTCACTTCTGTATCTGTGCTATATACAAATTAAATCAATTTCCCACATTTGACTTGGACAGATTATGAAAAGGGATTTTTTAAATTTTAAAAACCACCGGCGTACCGGTATTCTAAAAAGCAAAGCACCACTTAACGAGTCTGTGCAGCATCTCACCCGAACAGATAGAGAATGTTCATATGCCTATATTAAAAACATAAAACACAGAAATAAACACTTTGGGACGGTTTATATGCTGCCTGAGGCAGAGAGGTGATTCTCAGAGAAAGATCTGGGCAGTTTATTCAACTTTTCCTTTCTTTTTTTCATAGAATTGAGAGATATGCCGCGCTAACCTGATCTCTCTAGGCCTAGTTATTTTGTTTTTTGTGAGGTTCAAAGAGGATCACTGTTTTACCCTTTTTTTCCCTCCTCCTCCTGAAGTTTTTTTTCCCCAGTAGATTGATAAACTGTGGTTTCTGTCCCTTGTTTTTGCAAGGCTCAAAGAGGATCACTACTTTATCTTTTTCTGTCCTCATGCATTCCAATCATGAGTATTCTTATTTAATGTTTCATTCATTGGTTTTGCACGAGTCTGTCCCGCTTATTATTTACGCGATGTGGGAAAACTGACTCTTTCCCCGTACTATTAACAGATTTTATTTAGTATTTTCCCCCCCAAGCGGATGTGTTTTACTTTGTAACTGCGTCTCTATTCCTGTCAGACCCATGGAATTGCCAATAAATTGCTGCGTAGTCCGACTCAAATAGAGCTGGAGTCTATCTCAGTCTGACCTATGCAGCCTGCTTGCCTAAAAATCTTATCCAACACAATTTTCTGTCAGATTGGAAGCAAAATCGGATTTGCTGTGTTCTGGCCTTTACTGACTTTTTTTTTTTATGTAAGTGAAGTGCCCTTTTTGTTTAGTAATCAGAATTTTTGGTAAATGTTTGTCTTGAGCTTGAAGTTAAGATAATGTGATCTGTGATACGCAGTTAGAAAAACTGATGCTGCAAAAAATTGAAAACATAAAATCTGTGAATGGCTTTTTGCGAAAACAAAATGTGAAGAAATAAAATCTGAAAAATAAATGAAAAAATATGTAAGTTGAGATCAATTCTTAGAAAATGGCAAAGTTACTCACAAAACTTTTGTTTTAACTGAAATTTTGACTGAAATTTAACAGTGTGCAAAAAGTGTTTTTTTGCTTGCAACAAATTTGGAACAGAATTCACTCCATACCTGCAGAGCTGGAAGCTTCACAATGCGGAGGCTATTCCCCTCTCATTTGCACTGTTTTTATATATTTTCCTTTATGGTTTTTCTGCCTGAATTTGTTGTAAAGCATTTTTGGCCTTTGACCATTGGAAGGTGTTATACAAATAAATTAAACTTTCTTTCTAAATGTCAAAGAAAAGAAAAAGATCCAATCCAGTAAATCAGGTTGTTAAATAGCAGGTCAGTTTTTATCTTTATCTTGTGGATCATTAACTACTGAGGTGCAGCTAGAGATAAGGTGTGCACTGATAGAAGGATTTTACTGCTCAGAGGCCATTTGTTCTGATAAGAAGGCTCTTGTGTTACTTATGGGTTTGGCCCCTCTCTATGCGTAATGTGGGGCTGTTACTGGTCCGGGTTGATTCCTACCTTTGGCACCATTCCAGTCTCGTGTTTGATGTGCTGACTGAACCTTGCTGTCTTCTTTGCGATGCTGTGTGTGTTAAGTCGGTTGATCTTGTCGATAATAGTCAGGTTTTCCGTCTTCTTGTATTTATCAGCTTCAAAACATTAAAAACAAGATTTCAACTTTAGACATAGGGAACTTTATCATTAGTGCTGCTTTTTTTAAATTAAATTTAAACATGATAATGGACTGTTATATTCACTTTGGTGTTTTCTCCAATTCACTATACATTATGGCAGCATCAAAACCACTTTTATTTATTTGCTTTTTTCCCTTTGCAACCACAATTTAATGCATTTTATTGGGACTTTATGTTCTAGACCAGGGTAGTCCCCAAAAATAAAAAATAAGAACTGATTTATGACCCCCTAAAAGTACAAATAATCACACCGCTTTGTATTAATTCATACTTATAGAGTGAAGTAATTATAATCATTTCAGTTAAACATTGCCAGAAAGTCTAGATTGATTAAATTACTTGGGTTTTCTCCAGGCAGGCTCTTTGTTCAAATCATAAAAAACCTTCAAGAAGGTGAATGTGTCCTCCTCCTGTATTTACATCTTCCTGGAAGGCTGCTAACATTGGAACACCTTGCTGTAACCTTCCCCGTCTCTATTCCACCAAATGAGACGATTCCACCAATCTGGGACTTACCTTCGGGGGGTTTGCTAGTGTTGCTGCTTGTTTAACTTTTGCCGATTCTGGGTCGGAAACTGGGAAACAACTAATAACTAACCATGACAAACCGCTAACATTGCTAATGTTGTTTCAAATTAACGTGCATAAACAAAAGTTAAATTATCACGCGTGCCCTTGCAACACGTTAGAAAAGGAGTAAAGTAAGTAAAAGTTTGTAAGTAAAATAGCTCATGAGACTTTTTTCTACTTTTTCAAATGCATTATTTCTTCACATTTACTCTATGTGACATATTCAGATGTCCTCTCCTCCATATGTTTTGGGTTTTATAACGAGAGCTTGAGCCATTTTGCAAACATTTCTGTAACATTTCTTTTTTTGGAGTAATTTTCCTGAAAGCTGCAGTCCAATTGTTACCAGCGTCATTCATGTGTTTTAGGCTAAAGGCTGTCCTGGTTTAGCACAGCAGTCAACAGCTCCTTTCCTACCCTGGATAGTGTTCTTACTGTTTACCCCATAAAAGGTAAAGGAATAGGAGCTAGGAGCTACAATTTGAGGTATTCAGATCAAGTCTGAAAATTTAACATGTCTGAAAAAAGGGAATTAAAATAGCTGAATTACCTTCTCTTCACCTTAACATATTCTTCCGAGGACTGAGGATTCATTCTATTCTATTAAGAAACAGGGAAACATCTAAAACAAGCATGACATCGGCTAGTTCAGACACTAAACACCAGGGGTTTAGATCGAACCACATTCATATGTTAGAACGGATCAGTTTTAATCCAGACCTAAATACAACTTAGAAATAATATTTGCTACTTTGTGTCAGTCAATCACATAAAATAACAGTAAAATAAACAGAGGTTTTGGTTGTAAAGAGACCAAATGTCTGAATTTTAAAAGCAATGAATAACTTTGCATTCTAGACCACTGATCAGAAGCTCCAGTCCTTGAGGGTTCCTGTCCTGCAACTATTAGATGTGTCCCTTGCTCTTTACGGCAGGGTCCAATAGCTTATGTGTGTTACTAGGATGCAGAGCTCTGCTACTGAGATAATACTTGTTCTGTCCCATCTAAACACTTGTAGACCAGCGGCTCAGGACTGGAGTTAAAGATCATTGCTCGGAACGGGAAATGCCTCACCGACTTCTCTGAAGCGTTTGTACTCGTTAATACGACAATTTAAGGCGACAGAAGTGTGAGCAGTCTGCTCCAGGAGGCCGTATGCTGGGTGAGAGGGGTCAGTGTGCTTCTGGATGGTCTGCAGGAGGAGAGGATAGCGGGCAATCCGCTGCACCGGCATCACCAAGAAGAAACTCAAAGAGGTGGCATTGACCTCAGGTCTGGGGTGGGTAAAAAAAAAAAAAAAAAAAAAACTTTATCTAAACTTTTAAAACAAGCAAACAATAACTAACACATGGTAGCTTTCAAGCTTATTTTCTTTTCAGTAATTGTGTCACAGTGGTAGACAAAATAAAATATTTGAAACTCACGCTGAGGTCTTGATGATTGTAACGATGTCATTCCAAAGTGCCTCCTTCTGTTTGTAGCTGTTCTCCACTAATGAGACATGATTATAGTGCCGCAAGTATTCTTTATAAGCTGCTTCAATATCTGAGGAGAGGCTGAGGAATGAGGTACCTGTTAGGAACAATAAAACAGATGCATAAATACAGGAACAACAGAGTGCAGGGAGACAAAGAATATGCTTACCTACGGGGTAAAAAACATTTTTTTTATTTACTAAATGAAACAGTAGAGAAAAAAAAAGAAAAACCTCTTAACATCCACCTCATTCTGGGAAATTCTCACCTATTTTACACACCCAAATGGAAAAGCAAATAACTTAGGAACTGTAAGCCCAAATTACATGTGCAATACATTATTTGAAAGCGAACACCCTCTAGTTTCTGAATATATGAATTAAAATTGGGTGAGTACAACACAGACCAAGCAGCATCAGTTCAAACATGACTCAAAGTTGTTGTTTTTTATTCTCAGAAACGATAGGTCTTTTTTGACCAGCAGTGATAAAGACATGCTTGAGAAAAGGCAGGTTTCATTGTATAACATTTGTTCTACATCATGTCAACCACAAATGCAGAAATTTTCAGACCAGCATCTCCAAACTTCTCCAAATTGTGCCAAAAGCTTTTACTGTGTTTTGCTTCACTATTTGACCCATAGAATATCACTGAAGCATTTTGGTGGCCACAAAACATTTATAAAGCAAATTTTCCACTTTTTTTCTAAATCACTGTATATAACAAAATTTAGAATGTATACACCTATAATAGCATAGAAAATATAGTAAAACTGAAGCTTTTCAAGCCATAATAAGGCGCAGTGCCTTTTCTGAACTGTATTTTATTTTTTTCAGCCTTAGGTATTGTAATAAAACGAATCAGGATGTAAGCTTAACAAAAAAATAGGACCGCTCTGTCACTCAGCTTGGAGCTGCATGCATGGCTCCAGCCCCAGCTGTTTGTGT